GCAAAACAGATTTTGATAGATCCGTAGATGACATGACAATTTTTATTTGAGACATGGCAGGAGTGGCAGAAGGTTGACACCCTTTCTTAGAAGTTGCAGCCAAATCTTATATATAAAGCTGAATGTCTGCCTGTATGTATGTCTGTCTGTACGTACAGGGCTTTACAACCTGAGTTTCCCACCCGCCCCGCTAGGACGCCACGCTTAGGTCCGCGCAGCGTTCGTGGCGCTGGCTGCGCGTCGACTGAGGCTTGGCGAAATCCGGGCGATACGCAGCAAACGCCGCGCGCGGCCTGAGCGAGGCGGCCGCGTTGGAGGGGCCGCGCAAGCGAAACTTGCGACTCTCAGGTTGAAAAGCCCTGTATGTGCGGAATAGAAATTTTTATTTCTGAACCGATTTGGACCAAACTTTGCACACATACACTTCGGGGCAGGGAGCGTGTCATAGGCTACTTTTCGTTATCGATCGATATCGATTTTATCGATTTTTTGCAAAATTTGAGCTAGGGGGCTGGGATTTTGCACAGGGGGGTAATCGAGCATGCTGATCACCCCGGAGGGGTTGATCAGCATGCTCGATTACCCCCCTGTGCGAAATCCTAGCCCCTAGCTCAAATTTTGCAAAAAATCGATAAAATCGATATCGATCGATAACGAAAAGTGGACTATGACACGCTCCCTGCCCCGAAGTGTATGTGTGCAAAGTTTGGTCCCGGGCGGAGCCGGGTTTGCCATCTAGTATTTTAGAAAGAAAAGAAGCGATATCCGTCTTTGGAAAAGATGGGTTCGGATAACCAAGAAGTACCGAAAGCACTCCCGATAGTAGAAACTCGAGAATTATCTTTTTTCTTGACAAGGACGAAGGAAGGATTTTTGAAACTACCATCCAATATGGCTACTAAGCGTGCTGTATAAGTTTTTCGCAATGAATTTTCTCTCTCGCATGTAAAGGGCTTGGGATGAAGCCCAACCCCAAGAACAAGCTGGATTCCGCAAGGTATTCGCCTGCACTGCATGGACCACATCCAGACGGTTTCGAGGGTCTTAAAGAGCCGACCACAGCGTCGAAACTAACGCCATCCTGTCACGCTAATCAAAATCAAGGAGTGGAGCCAGCTTACGTGAGGACTAGTCGACCGCTATAAATACTGTACAACGACGATGCAGATAATCTATCCTCCTTAACCATTCCATTTAGAAAGAGGGTCCAACAAAGCTGTTGAAACTGGGCCCTGCAGTGGGCGATGAAATCACTGGGCTGAAACAAAGGAAGACGCGAATTCGGATTCCTCTCTAATCTTCACATCGCGGACGAAATTCTCTTTTCAAGCAGTACCACATATGCAGAGGCATAGTGAAGGAATTCGACGAAGTAGGGAAGATGATCGAACTGTGATCAAATCGGAAGGAAATGAAGAACACCTCTTGTAAAAAACGGAGATAGAATTGGAAGGCAACCTCACTACGGAAACGTCGTCTTACGTACGTCGGATGTTCGATGAACATGGAGATTGACTCGGTGAAAGAAATTTAACCTGAGAAGAACAGCAGACTGGGCCACCTTCGCGTTCAAAAAGAAACCACTAAACGGCTGAGAGACTCGGAGCTTCAAGCCCACCTGCTTGAATCAGCCGTTCCCCCGCGCTCTCTTGCGCAGCTGAGACCTGGGGGTATTTATTAATCTCCACTCGCTGTGTGTGCCATTGTTAAAGAGAGCCCGCACAGGCGAGCGCCCTTTCCGCGATTTATGAAAGTCTGGGAAGCTCGGCCCAAACGGGCAGCGCCGCCCGACTCGTCGCGATGGGGAACTGCTGCCCGACTGCCGTGCCCGACATGGCCGAACTTGCCAGATCGAACCATATTCTTCAGTAGACAGGAGCCCGGTCACCAGCTTGGCTTCATTTTTAAGGGCGCCAGTGTCCGCCCCTGTACGGACTGTTTACCTGTAGGGGAACCCCCCCTATACAGCAGATTGATAAATTCCGCCCCTAAGCAAACATTGCAACCACGTCGAAAGCTCTACGGACCGCCCCACCCATGAAGCTCTTGAGCGCAGTCTCCTGATACCCGACACAAACAACACCTCATCGGATTTCGCAGTAGGGGTATGAGGAAAATGTCCCCGTCTTCGTCTTTCAGCGGAGTGCATGCGAAAGCAAAGCCATGGCGGGCAGGCCAATCATTAGAAGAAACTAGTTGGCAAACCCGGCTCCGCCCGGGCCTGTCAATAATATATTTGTAATCAGCATGCTCGATTACCCCCCTGTGCCAACTCCCAGCCCTGTAGCTCAAATTTTGCAAAAAATCGATAAAATCGATATCGATCGATAACGAAAAGTAGCCTGTGAGACGCTCCCTGCCCCAAAGTATATGTGTGCCAAGTTTGGTCCAAATCGGTTCAGAAATAAAAATTCCTATTCCGCACATACGTAGAGACAGACAGACAGACAGACAGACATAGGTACATACACACATTCAACTTTATATATAAGATGAGGACAGCTAGGCACCAAATCACTGTTTAGGTGTTGCGAAGGAAGAGGTTTCCGATAAAGACCACCGAGGAGGTGGGCAGACGTGTTTATGAAACGGATGGACCACCTGAGAGATTAGATGGTACGACGCGTGGAACTCGCAAACGCAGGCACCGAGAGCAGTAAATCGTGGATGTTCAAAACGAGTGACCGGAACAGTTGGAAAACTGGGGTCCGTATGCAACAGATGTGCCTCTGATTTTTTGAGTATAGGATAATCATAAAATCACAATGGCGACGGTCGCGCGCATTGCATACCGCTTTCTCTTCACTCTAATCTTCTTTTTTTCGCATGCAATAATACCCTCTATACAGATACCTGAAGCGACTGATAGAGCACCAAAGTGGTACCACTTGCTGGGTGATGTACGCTTTTGTGACGTTTGGATGGACGCAAAGAACACAGTCCGATTCGCCATCACGATTCAATAAGGGACTGCAAGTAGGGTAGAGGACTATATGTCGCCGAAAAAGGGCGGTCCCCGCGGTCACTTGCGACAAATACGCACCTTTGCACATGCGCGGGCATGCGTTCCTGAGGAAATCCGCGCGGGACTCTTCCAAATTCGGCAACATATAGTCCTCACCTCGTCATGCGAATTTATGATCTCCTTTAGTTATCTGGGTCGGTAGTAATCTGGTCGAAACTCCGAGTTTAAAGCTCAGCGTTAACTCAGAGATAACTCTGAGTTCCGTTTTTGAAACTCACGATCAGAGTTATGCTAAATGAAACTCTGAGTTCCGCTTTCACAGTTCCGAGTCCCAACTCTCAAGCTCGGAGTTTTGCAGTTTGAGGAGCTGTTACGCACTTTGCTGCAAAGTCGACGTTGAAATTGGGACTCGAACCTGTATGGTTTAGAGCAAATATCCGAACACTAAACCGCTAGGCCATGACACACCCTTGAAGCTTAAACTTTCTTTGCCTTTATTTAGTCATTGCATTAACACAAAACATGCCAAAACAAGTCATATCAAAGCCTCACTCATTCTTATCTTTGTTGAGAAGTAGTGGTTTATCGCACGGTTTCGTCTTATGCGCAGCTGAAAGCTTCAAACATTAGAGAGAGCGGATGGCATACGCAATGGTAATAATAGACTATTATGGACTGCGCATAGTTAAACTCTCCGCGCAAAACTTGCCCTTATTCCATGATTTGGCCGATTTACAGTATGCCCACCGTAACCGCTCAAATGACACCAGTGCACGGAGCATGTGGACTGTCCGTGATCAGGCCCCGAATAACCCCAACGGTCGAAGTTTCGATCAGTTTTGTGGTTTTCTCAATTCTACCGTATAGCTACCATAACTCCACCATATGGATGCGAAGCCAGAAATGCAAACCAAATTCGTGTTCAGCGCCCCGAATAACCCCTGTGTACCAAATTTCGGTTAGATTCGTAGTTTTTTCCCATCTACCGTAAACCTACCATAACCCTGCCAGATGTCACTGTGGTATAAACTGCATACAATATTCGTGATCAACGCCCAGAATAACCCCACCGGCCTTAGTTATGTCCGATCTTGTAATTTTCTCCTGTCTACCGTAAACCTACCGTAATCCGGCTGCATGACCCCATGGTAAAAAATGTGTACCATATTCTTGATCAGCGCACCGAATAACCCCCTGGGCGAAGTTTTTAGAAAATTTCAAAATTTTGTAAATTACTGCGCACCACGATACCCCCATCACGCCTGCTTAAACTACGAGCAAAATGTACCCCGGAGGACTTTTTAACTGCCCCTCTTCTTTTGCAGACTATTTCTCTTTCTCTGGCCAAACTCAGAGTTATCTCTGAGTTCCACGATAGACTGGAACGCGCACAAAACTCAGAGTTATCGCAAACACTAGTTGCGCGTTTGGTGGCGCTGTTTCTTGTGCAGGACGATTTCGACAATGTCGCGCTACTGGGAATAAACTACCGGTTACGGAGTATCCTGCCATATCATCGCTTTCCGGATTTGGTCTGTTCAAGCACCTGTTAAGGGCGCCAAAAGTTTCGCGTTAGCTCACAGATAACTCAGAGTTAACTCTGAGTTATAACTCTGAGTTTCGATAGGTTTACTACCGACCCTGGTATTTCGACCACAAACAAAACTTATCATTGGGTATGGTCACGCACTACAAACTACGCGCCAGCTTGTTTCTATAGGCTTGCAGCGTTCACGTTCCACTTTTTCTTCTATGTGAGCTTAACGAGTTTGCTGTCTGTTTGCGTGTCTCGAACATTTTTATATTAAGGAAAAGAAGTGACAGAATTGGAACGGAACGAAAAGGTTCACGCACGATGAACTACAGAAATGCTTAACAAACATTTCCAGCTGATCTGAGCGTTTCATAGTATGCAAACGCTAGGATTGCAGTTTACTGGTACATATTTTTTTGACTCTATTTTAACGGAATTTAACCCAATCAGCTCCATTTAACGATTTGAAACACGCCCTATAATGAAATGTTCCAAAACAACTACGCCACTGTACATTTTATTCCATCACTCATGTGCAACGCATCATTACTGGAAGAGGAACTAGCGGAAAGAGAATATGCTAAAGAAGTCCATGTTTTTTACAATACTGACAAGAGATAAGGCATTGAATCGACACCAGTCAGAGATGAAATCATATCACGTGATCCCGAACCGACAGATTTGCGGATCAGATATTAAATTAAAAACCAAATACGAAGTTTCATAGAAAGCAATTAACGCCCATCCTTCGTATGATCACATCGGGTTAGACATTCTACTGGGTACTGGCTTCATTTCCACATTAACATCCATCTCCACTTCCAATCAGAACATGTACTTCAGAAATCAAGATATTATATTATGAAAGCTTAAGCCATCACATATGTGACAATAATTTAAAAAACGTCTTTCTACACAGTCCAACCCGTGATTTACTATTTGCACCGATTAGCACGTGGAAATGAAGCCGAGAAAAATGATTAGGTATTCGTAAAAGCTCTGCACTACAGTAAGCTACAATTAAGTTTCAAAAAAATCTGCACTCTATATAAACACCATTTTGCAAAGATGCAAGGCTAATTCAAGTCCACCGGTACAGGATGATCAGGAATCAGGGAAGTGAAGAATGATGTGATAAACGAATAGCATGTTGCGAAGAACACTTGTATATTTGACGGCGTTTCGGCAGGTTGTGCAGGAGCCTGAGAGATCTGTATTAGACGTGTTTTGAATTTGTCTCCGGAAAAGCGGAGAGATTTGTGATACCTGTTCTGTGCCATCTTGATTTTGCTCTCCGGCATTGTTGTTATTTACATTTGGCTGGGGAGGGGCAGCCATTCGTGCTTGTCTATTATAATTCCTTCTCAACTGGATGAAAAACATGAACAAGGCGATCGTAACGACGACAAGAAAGCGTTCCAGTGAAGAATAAAGCATGACTGCCTGCAAAAACAGAATGAAGCTCCATGAAATTGCGTCCGTAAAAAAAACCCCTACCGAAAGAAGCAGGACAACCCTGAAAACCTTGTACATGATATCCAAAGCATCTCCCCGTTCTCCTCCTGGGACCGCTTGAGCAATATTAGCTTCTGCTGGCATCTGAAATCAATACGGATAGGTGACATTATATCACAGACTGCAAAATTTCTTACTTGCTCCGCAGCTCCCACATTTCCATTAGGCTGATTGGGCACGATATTTACAGGCGCCTGCTGGCCGTTCCCAGCAGTACCTGGCTGAGCAGCTGCAGCTGGTATTTGCTGAGCTGTTGATGCTGCGAACATGGATGGACTGTATCCCATTTGTCCCATCATGAAGAACTGATATTGCTGCCATCTAAAAGAAAAGATTTAAAAATAAAAACTCAAGCTATTCAGTGCACAACTTACTGATTGATATAAGCTGCATAGTAATTGGAATACTGCTGTAATCGGGTCATCTGCTCAGGACTGGATGAGCCGTAAAAATGCTGATACCATTCCTGATAACTTGTATTCGACGGAGAAAAGCTAGCATTACGTTCGGCTGACACTGGTGCAGTCGGAGGATATCTGGAATTTGCGTGGATATATCACGAGAACACAACTGAAAAATTGCTGAGTTTCCATGAATGCTCGTTCTCCATATGGCACCACAAATCAACATTAATAAAAAAGAGAATCTAACGATGTTACAGCTTCAGGTTCTGGAACACGAACAAAAAACAAAGTTGGAAGCTTGTGAATTTATCGAACGTCGAGATAGCTGGCAATTTATCACCTCTGACAACCTTTAAGGTTCAACACATACCTTTCAAGGTCATGCAATGAACGACGCGCTTCCAGCAAGTCTTTACACTGCTCATTTTGATCGCAAAACGATTGATAATGATAGCAAGAAGAGCAAGACCGACATTATAAGAACTAAGATGTCTGGTTTTTTGAGAGCTAAACAGAAAGCAAAGAAAATACTAACGATTGTGCAGTAGCAGTGGCTGTGTGACGTTGTCTTAACTCTGGAGGACTTGACTGTGGTAGTGGACAAACAAGATGTAGAACCTGTGGCCCATCCACAACTTTTCTGAATTGATAAGTATAAAAATTGTGACTAGCGAAATTGCTGGAAAATAAACAACTCCGATAAAAAAACAATTACCTTTGATCCATGACATCCTTGATAACCATATCATCTGTAAGGCATGCACCAGAAAAAATCAGTCGCTGAGAAGTTACCGCCTAGAAAACGCATTGATGGGAACTGTTTAACCAGAAGCTAATCTGTCTGATGTTACCTATTTTCATACATAAATATAAACTGATTATTTCATGAAAAGATTGCTCATCAAAAGCTTCTAACGATGGATCTTCGTTGGACAAACAGATAGGATTTTTGACATTATTTCATGGAGCCCCGCGATTACTACACAGAAGAGTTGAAAATCAAAATATCTCTTTTACAGATCTACAAAAAGTCTATTCCAGAAATCACTATGCGGATTGCTATTTCTTCAAACAAAATTCGAGTTCTATGCACAGTCAAAGCATCTAATTCGTTTAGTCGCATCTAGCCTTATCGCAATCTTCCTAAGCAACCGAAGCGAAAAAAGAGAAGATATATCAGTTCAAAGGATGTCGACTCACAGGATGAGATGGACAGACTTCATGGAGATGTTCTTTCAATTGCCGAATTGTCCACTGCAGTGGGCAAATCACTCTGATATCCTTTGATGTCTGGAAGGCACAACGTACTGTCAACTCGACAGTTCCTGTAGAGGCTCCTGCCGTCGATGCCATGTCTGCAAAGTAAGTTCTTACTACGCAAGAAAAAGTAGAGTCTGCTACTTGAAGCGAGAACAGGCGACGACACCACACTATGGAAATGAGACCGCAACGAGACACGAAAGTTCAACAATGGAATTAACCAAGCGAATGCCATCGATTATCAGCTGATACACGTATGTTTCTGACGTCAACGTAGCCGTTCTGCAGCGCGGCGCGTAGAAGTGGCTGGTCCGCGATGGAATCGCGCCCTTTAATTTTCTCGGAGATAATTCAAACGCGCTTCCATACACTAGTTTCTCTAACCCCCGGGGACGGTCAGTTTTTTCCAGAGTTATCTGGAAGGATTGAATCCAGTCCCACGAGTTGCTGTTAACCCATTGACGACGAAGCTTAATTTTGCGTGGCGGCGCTGAGGGCGACGAGATTTTGCACAATATTTTCGGCGTGGGAAAGTTTTGTGATTCTTTACGATTGTAAAGTTGTTTTGTAAACAACTACAAACCATATTCTTGGACGACGAAGACTACAGGTTCCAGAAGTGCGAAAATTTAGAAAATTGAACTGTGGAGGAAATGCTAGGCCCAAAAAATATATGATTTTGCAATGGATGTGGGCCACCGGTGGTCCACATCGTCCTTGGCGGCAAAAAGTGCGTGGGCCACCGGTGGTACACATCGTCGTCAATGGGTTAAGGCTCGCACGCATTCTGTAGCCTCTTCGACTATGAAGTGTCATATGCCCGCAGAAGGTATTCAAGACTCTATGAAGACGATCCTTTATCGTTTATACTTTAAGACATCCAGAATGAGATAAAGCGCAAATTCCAACTTGTTAAGCAATCATAAGAGAAGTGTTTCGAGTCATTAGTTCATGTTTAGAAACACCACAGTGCTGTATTCTTTTACAGCGGGTTGGAATCCTATCTGATTTCTTGCCAAACTGGAAATAGCTGAGAGATCAACACTTTCAGATCTACGGATTAGCTGCTCTCATATCCTGATCTCTCAACAGTGTTGTTCTCTCAAATCTCTATATAGCAGTTCCGAATAGATCTTGTTCTTATTCATACACTAAAAGTCAAAAATTTCGAAAGGAAGCGCCAAATCTGGAGATGCCGCTCTGAATAGTCGAAAACGTTGTAGGGTGGAAGTGTGGGAGCATCTGATTAATTCTCCTCAATTGACCGATCCCACAGAATTGTTCCCATATGAACCACGACGTGGCTGTCTTTCAATCTTGATATGTCAGTGTCGAATAAGCGCCTCAAATTTGCTGGAGTTGACGTGTTAAAGCGATCGAAAGGCAGCCACGTTGATGGCTTATAGTCGTCCTCCCCCCACTAGACACCTAGTGGATGGATTCAAATTTGAAATAGAGCACGCCGATTGCGGCAGAGCGCGGCATTGTCAACTCCAGTTCAACCTCATCCAATATTCTTTAATGTTTCTTCGTCGTTGCATGGTGATTTTTTGTTTCAGTGATGTTTGTAATCAAAATCGAAGAAATTGTTGCTGCTTAGCGATGTTTCGTGCTACTATGCTCGCTTCTTCGGTTTTTATTTCAGCTAAATTTGAGATCAGAATCCAAATAACGAGCATAGTAGCAGGAAACATCACTCAAGACTAACAAAGTCTATAATCCAGTTAAAAAGACTGCTAACATTCAAAAAATAGGATGAAACGTTCCGAAAACACAAAAACGTCTGTTTGAGATCAAAGTGAGGGCTGCAGGTACCGCGCTCTGCCGCATACGGCGTGCTCTACTTCAAATTCGAATTCGTCCACTATAGTATAGGTATACCTATAGGTGTCTAGTGGGGGGAGGACGACTATATATGGGAACAACTGGGGGATGCACGATACTTGAATGAGAAAGACAAGTTTGAAGGCGACTTTGCAGTAGAAGTCGGTTTTTAGGTAGTATAACCTCCTGCAAGACGAAGGCGGTTGGTTCGAGGCGCGACGTGGCTGTGACGCGGCTGTGACGCTGCTGTGACGCAGCCATGTCGCAACCGCGTTGCACATCGAACCGACCGCCTTCGTCTTGCAGGAGCTTATAATATAATTGTAAGGAGGGTGAAAAGAGGTCTCCAAGCGATTTAGCGAGCCGAGAGGATCCGGAAAGGAATTGGAGGAATTGGATCACACAAGCATAGCTGCAGAATCTGTATTTCTTATCCCTGCTTTTGCCTCACAAAGCTTTCGCAAAGGTAAAACAATTATGCCAAAATAACCAGATATCGAATACACAAGGTACAGATACTTAAGAAAGAGCTACCCAAGAAATTGATGCATGTTTTAAGAATGAAAACAATGAAGAGGGAATTGTCAACAAATGAGGGACTTTGACGGAAGCTATGAAAAGGAATGATTTGCTCTGTTCCGCTTTATAAGCATGAACACGAACAGCTAATTTTGACTGCCACGTTTCATAGCCTTTTCAAAGCAATGAATTATGAAACTGCACTCAGCCATTGGTACAAAAGGAAGTGCTATAGTACTTTCAGAATGTACAAAAGGTAACATCACTTAAGAGTGTCAATAACTCAAAAGAACTCGTGATTTTTCCATTGATTTATTTCGCGGCATTCTCAAGTAAGTTCATTCTAAGCTAAAACAGATTTCGGTTGCTAGAAAGTACGAATCAGAATGGAGTTTTAATAAGCTTTTCAACATTTTCAATGTCCGCAAGGCCTCACTCCTGAAAGTGACATTTATAGGGCATTCGGAAAATCGTGACGATGGCGCGGCCGCGCGCGATAAGCATGCACTTCCGCAATCGCAGTTCCTAGGTTTTCATCTTTACTTGAATGGTTTTTCTGCTTATGTACGGTAGTTAGGCACTGAAAGTGATTGAGCTGAGCGTTGAGGTGTTAAATTTTTGTATGAGTGTTTTATGCTCTTGTGGGCGCAAAGTCGAGCACAAATCAATCGTCGCGATTTTGATAATGACCTCTAGATAGTCCAGTGTCTATGTTTGCCGGCTGGAAGCCGCTTACACTGTAGGGACAAAATTAGTAATTCTGCCCACGAATAACGCACACAACCCGAGGGCCAGCAAACTCCGGCTTCGCTTACTACATTTGTGAAAGGAAACCATCGATGTGTAAGATTAAGCAATGCAGACTATCTTTATTGTGAAATTTTGTAAGAACTGAGAGATATGAAGCCAACTAAATTAAGTCATTTCTATTCAAATTTCCCATTTCTATTCTAGAATTTCTCTCTATTTTTTCGTAAGTATGTAGACAAATAAAATATGTTACTTTTTTTCTAATTCTTTTTTTTAACAATTTTCATTTTTATATACAACATACTCTAGTTCAATATTTTTAATAAAAAACAACAACATAGCCAACAATACGATTAGATGGGATAATAATACAATGCAACAATACAGGTTAGATGGGATAACGCTTCTATTATTGCTCATTTCTTCCGGCAATGGACTCCAGACGTCTGCGCAATCGCTCCCCTCCGCAAATATTGTGAACTGCCTAAATCAATTATTCCTTTCTAATGAATAAGAGCCAAAATAATGCTAAAAAAATTGACTTACATGTGGCGGTGAGGTTCCAGCTGGCGCTATGAGGCTCTTAACCTCCGTTATAACGAAATAGTTTTAGTTGCATATCATACTCAAGTGTTTGTTTTACACGTCTCAATAAATAAATAAATAAATAAAATAGTCCTTTTGAATGGAGATAATTGTTTTGCGCACTTCTCCGCGCAGCAACAACGAGAGGATTTGCTCCTCGGAGATCCAGGGCTCCTCTAGGTGAGTTGGGCGACAGGTCCCATTAATGGCAGAGAACAGGAATTTGGACATATGGACATCCTCACCAAGTTCGCTGATTTCCTAAACATTTTTTTTGAATAATGATTTCACAAATGAAATAATTCCTCACTCCCATCAATTTTTTTCTCTCGTCCCATTTAACATAAAAAAGTTTTTTTCCCGTAAGCCGAAATCTACCTTTTTCAAGTCCAAACCGCGCCGTCGCTCGTTCAGCGAAGTCCTTGCGTGTCTTTCGCGACACCTTTTCAGCTCTTTGCCTACTCGTGCGGGCTTCCTCTGTTTTCCCGCTCAGGCGCACTCGGAGATTCTCGCACGTACCTGGCAGATGGTTGCGATCGCTAAAGAGGTTGCCAGCGATTGCTCCTGCTCTTCGATCTTTTTCTGATCCAATCTCCCCGGGACCTCCATGTCAGGATAAGAGCTAGCTGGGCCCTTACCTGAGGTGTGTAGCGATGACCTGAGCATAGGAGAGATGCTATATGATATGTTTATCATACAAGATATTATATACGATAATCAAAGGGGGAAAGGGGAAGGGAGCTGAGCTGCAACGACAGCAGTCAGCTCCGAGTTCGTCGTCGTTTCGAGAGCCGGAGAGCTCTCCTTTTATCCTGGCTCCAGCCCACGTAACACCTGCCTCACGCAGGCTTCACATGCGAGGGGGCTTGAGCGATAGCTTGTCTCCCGGCACACCAAAAAAGAAGTTGTCGGAAAAGAAAAGGAATTCGTATTGTCAATGAGAAAAATGTTTTGCTTGTTCTATAAAGAAAAGCTCTTTTTTTAATCAGCAACTTGAAATTGCTGACTACATCTTATCGCGATGTATGATCTGATTGAGCTTACTGATAGATAAGATGTGGTTGTCGTGGTTGTCGCGATGCACAACTTCTCGGCATCGGAAGAAAGTTAGATGAGCCGTAAATCAAGTATGTGTAAAGCTCTTCCGATATTCAACAGGCACATAGCATATTTGTCACGGCTATAAGGTCACAGTTGCTAGCTTCTACAACGGTTACTAGATTTATTGCTATTTTGAGCGCGCGCAGACAGTTGCTGGAACAATATGCATGAAGGATTTGGAGCTTTAGGCCATGTGTAATAGTCGGGTATATAGCGCGTCAGCAGATGCTACCTTTCCTGACGAGCTGTACTGCAGATTTTGTACTGTAGTTACGATTGCGAGCAAGTCCATGTCCAAGAATAAAAAGAAAATGCGCTTGCGATCAACAGAAATTGATGCATAGCATTTGCAACAGTCTAAAAAAATCACGGAAATGTTGTGTGCAAAAAAAACTCTGAAGGAAAACAAAACTAGCGCAAAAAATTCAAATGTGTCGCAAACGCTGAATATACTAGAAATATACTGCAAAGGGAGTTTTCCTTGCTATCATGAATCCATTTCTGCACAGAGATTCTAAAGCTAACAAATTTGGCTGAGTTACGATTACGTACAACTCATACTTAAAAAAATCTATGGCGTCTTTTCGGTTACATTTATGTATAACTAGCTGCGGTTCCCGGTCCCGCCCGGGCCGAGAGTCCAGAATGGCCCAGCATAGGGTGTGCTTGATGTATACTGACCAGTCCTCCACTTTCTTCAGTTCATATCTTCTGTTCTCTCCTGCTTCACCTCCATGCCAGTTTTAGCGCTCGTGTAGTATCCGTGGTGAATAGTCTTCTTTCTTGACCGGCTCGCTTCATGACACCGCATGCTCCTCACCGCAAAATGTAAATGATCTCTACCACCCCTTACTACTCACTTGGAGAAATGAATGGTATAGCCTTCATTTTCCTAGATTTTAGTAAACAAAATCAATAAATCGATAGAAGGACCCAGCGAATTGTCGAAAAAAGTAGCCTATCTTTTGCGCCGTGGCTTGTTTATAGGGAAACAAAATTCAGCCTCTTTGGTTCACATACAAAGGAGTCTATAAGCCACAAACATCCTAACAAACACGGTACAGTGTTTGAGTTTTATATATATATAGATTAATTGCTCACGATTATTTTTACGCATAGCTGCTCAATAAACGGTTATGGCTATGACTGCTAAATCATTCGCGCCTCACGGTAAACTAGAGCTAAATAATGCATTATTACTCAAAAAATTTGAGAGAAATGGGACTGCTCGCTGGACTACAGTAGGATGTATCTTTGAGACAATCATTCAAAGATCATCAAAAGATTCGGAGGATTTATTTTCGTTTTGCATTCACCTAAACTTTTCTTGTGAAATATTAGTTTTCCTTCGATAAAGGAAAAATTTTTCACAAACATAGCACACTATTAGTTATCGTTATTATAGGGATGAATATAAAAACACTCACTCATTCGTTCGATGTGACTTTGGTGGAAGTTGTTATCAAGGATGTCAGGGGAGGGGGTGGGAATTCCCTTTTTTGAAACAAAAATTTTGACTATAGTTCAAAGCAAGAAAAAAAATTTTCCCGGGACTTCCATGTCAGGAAGGGTTAGCTAGCCCCTTAGCTGATGTGTAGCGGGGTTACATAAGTCTTACTATAATGTTTATTATTAATAGGTATATACAAAAGGGAGAAAGGGGAAGGGAAAGGCTACCGGCTAGTGCCGGCGGCCGGAGGTCACTGTTAGGCTGCGTTCAGACTGAATTCGAACACAGCGCTCATTTCAAGCGCTGTGCTGGGACTGTTCTCGGATTTCGAAATCAGTCTGAACGCAGCCTTAGAGGCTGGCTGTGTTCGGCCAACCTTTTTCTCGAGCAGCTGTTGTAGCTAGCTGCGTCCCGTCACCTTCTAGCTGGAAAAAAATTGGCATTTATGTACATCATTTTCGTCCTATCGACACAGCCGCAGCTAAGGATTTCAGAGTCATAGAACACCATCTCCTTTTTGCATTGTGTTTATGGTGCAACCCCAGAATTGTTCCCATATAAACCAACAACGCGGCTGTCTTTTGATCATTTCAAATTGTCAACTTCGAATAAGCGCCCAAATTTGTTAAGGTTAATGTGTTCAAGAATCAAAAGGTAATCACGTTGATGGTTCATATTGGAACAATTCTGGACAATGCACGGTAATTCCAGTGCGACAAAACGAACAAGAAGCAGGGTCAAGCGTGAGGTGTGGCACGCCACACTTGGGGGGTCGTATTGAGGAGTCAAAAGGGGAGGGGGTCGTAGTTGGGTAATCTGATAACAGTGATAACATGATATTCATATATCCATAATTAGCATGTCAATTAACCCTTGTAGACAAAGTTTGAGTGAATTCTGAAGATTCAAGATACTAGGCTACCTAAGTGAAATGGTCATATTCTAACATGGTTAAATTTGTTTCAAAGGTGAATTAGCTATCCGTTTTCGCACTCAAGACAAAGCACTTCTCCTTCTTTGTCTATCTCAGAAATCCCGCTTCAAAAGACCTCCAAACTGTGGAATTAGAAGCCAACCAAAATCTCATTTTTTCCAGATCTCCTAGGTTTCACAGGAGTGATTTGAGCCTGATTCGTTTTCTTTGCTTTGAGTAATAGTTGGTGAAAGCACAGCCATCAAAAGCGGAAAATGGGACAAATGAGATTTTGGTTGGCTTCTAATTCCACAGTTTGGAGGTCTTTTGAAGCGGGATTTCTGAGATAGACAAAGAAGGAGAAGTGCTTTGTCTTGAGTGCGAAAACGGATAGCTCATTCACCTTTGAAACAAAGTTAACCACGTTGGAATTTGACCATTTCACTTAGGTAGCCTAGTATCTTGAATCTTCAAAATTCGCTCAAACTTTGTCTACAAGGGTTAATTTACATGCTCATTATGCGTATGTTGCCCATTATGGTTGACAGGGCCTTCAGGTAATGCTATCTTAGGTATATAATTCAGGGGGGGGGGGGAGGTCTTTTTAAGACAGCAATCATGGGGGAGGGGTCGTAACCAGCGATCGTGTGCCACACCCCTTGCTTGACCCTGACAAGAAGTTGGTGTGCCATTCTACTCTCTCTGAAATCAGGCGTCAATCAAAGTGGGTCCTGCCCCGGCAATGTCCGCAAATGCAGACTGGTACTTGCTACGCTTGCGTGGCCTAAATTCGTTATGCTGACGCTTCTTTCTTTTGCAGCAGTGTATATCCAATTCATTTTGCGTCAGTAGTTTGCATCATCACTACTGACTCTAGTCGCGAAGTTGTAGAGCTTACGTTAGGAATCCCCTCTTTCGTCAATTTTTTTTCTGGCGTTCATTTTTAGTTTGTCTTTCGATCATATCGTTCACATATTCCTCATGTTATTCAACATCTTTGAATCTTACGTTTGATCTTTGACACATTTAGATGCCAAGCGACTTGGGAACATGGTTCAGGACCATCCCTATAGTAACCAGGTACTGGTTCGCTCTTTCTGTCGTCATTCCTTTACTCGGAAGGTTTGGCCTTATCAACCCATTATGGATGTATCTTGATTGGGATCTTTTCGTCCATCGGTTTCATGTAAGTTTTTGACAAGTGAACACATTCATTCTGAGTTTCGGTTTTATTCTAATAGCATATTTTGGGAATTTAAAACACTTACTGTTTTGCACCATTATGTTCGCATTGTTTTAAGCAATGTAAATGACTGTGGAATCATAGTTTGATGAATTTACCTCCGTATGCTATGTCAGCTCATTTTTTTTTGGCAATTTCAGTGCACAACAGTTTTGAGGTTGATATTTCTTCTATGTAAGAAGTGGCAGAAGTTTACTTTTGGTTTGGAATGTCCTTGTTTTTGATGTTTTCGCAAATCCCTGAGAATAGGTGTTACTTGATATCAGCGGTATCCGCTAATATAGATAACTTTCGGCGATTAATTTCTTTGATCGGCTGTTCACACTCGCTGAGCTCCAGAATGTCTGTGCCTCAGATAGTCTTGAAATTAGTCATGTTAGTAAATATACCGCAACGTTGAATGCTTTCTATTTTTTGCTGCATGGGTATTTGTGAAATATCGTGTACAATCTCTCCAAGCTCTTGATTGATTTTATCCATTTCAGTTCTGGCGACCGCTGACAGCTTTGATATTCTATCCGGTTTCACCTCAAACCGGTTTTCACTGGCTACTGATGTTGTATTTTTTGTATAATTACTCAAAAAATCTGGAGTCTGGAGTGTTCTCAGGACGTCCAGCTGACTACCTCTACATGTTGATTTTTAATTGGCTGATTTGTTCGGTAAGCTAATTTTCATTGATTCTGTGTTGATCTTCTTCATTATAACTATGGACTAGCAAAATTCATGATTCACATTCGTTTCTTTTTTTGCATCCATTACTGTTAGCCAGTTTCAAAAACACCCAAACTTTTGGCAGACGTTTCCTCAAAGTATTTGCATACAATTCTCATTCGGCGTTATACATATTTGTCGTACTTTGATAACGTCGATTAGCTAGTGATGCAGTTCTTTCTTGCTTCTTCTTCTTCGTTATTGGTGGCGCTACTGCTAGCGGACGATGTTAATGAGTCCTCTAATCTTTATATGTGCAAAATTATCTACCTTTGCTGCACTTAGTTGTAGTCGGATTCTGAACTAAACTGTTCGATTTAGGGAATATGCATGGCAGCTGGTGTGTATTTTTTGCTTGAACCTATGGTACTCAGCGTTTTGTACGTTTGGTGTCAACTCAACAAAGATACGATTGTTTCTTTCTGGTTTGGAACACAGTTCAAAGTGAGTCAAAGTGTTGCTTATTTTATCCCGCCTTTTTGAACATTTTCATCCAGTTTACATATTTTTGTAATCTCTTAGGCCATGTATCTTCCATGGATTTTATGTGCGTTCAATGCCATCCTACGAGGAGGTGGCATGAACGAGCTCCTTGGCATTCTGGTTGGACACACCTACTACTTCTTGGCCTTTGACTACCCACTTCAACATGGTGGATCACAGTTCCTTCGTACCCCTCAGTTCCTCTACAATCTTCTGCCAAATGAGGAAGGAGGTGTGCACGGATTTGGAGCTGAGAGAATCAATCAGCGACGAGGTGATGCAGGAGGTGGACGACATGCATGGGGCCGGGGGCAAGCTTTGGGTGGCGATTAATATCGAAATAGATTTGAGAATTTTTATAGTAAAACGTGTAGGCGGTTGCAACTGGTTTGCCATCTCTTGCTGACTGTGGTGTTGAAGTGATGTGCATATGCTTGGTATAGTATTATTCTTGCGCCATTTTTCTTTACAGATTTTTTTTATTTATCATTCCTGTGTACATTTCTGTAAATAAAAGGTTTTTAGTCGACTGTACTTGAGTCAGGTTTATTATCAGAGGTTTCTACTCGCATTATCTACCGAGTGTTAGTGAATAAATGAATCAAGCATCTCAAAATGCCCTGAGTTTTAGCTAATATGCAAAACGACGCTGGTGAAACAGTGGAACTTTACGTTCCTCGCAAATGGTGAGTTACCAACTTCTAGTCGCTGTTGTGCGTTCCTAAAGTTTCTGTTTAGCTCTTCATCCAACCGCCTCATTGGCCCCAAGGATCACTCCTCCATCCAGCTCGACATCGTTGATGTAGATCCAATCACCGGACGCATGGTTAGCTTTAACTCAGCATATTTAGTTTTTTCCTGTTTGTTGGTTGTTCTCTTGTTGAATGTGGATCACTAGGTTGCTGGGAAATCGACCCGCTATTGCATTTGCGGAGCCCTTCGTCGCCAAGGAGAATCTGATGATGCGCTCTTGAGGCTGGCACAGAGAGACGGGATTATTCCCAAGAATCTCTAATTTGTTGTTATGAATTTTTTCTGGTAAAGTTGTTATTTGCTTAGAAGCTAAAGATATGCATGTCAATCGAACAAAAATTTTTATTGAAGGATAGAAATCTTTATCACATCATTTTGAATCTAGATAGAGGTCAAGTCATGATCATGTCAATGATATGTACGGCTAGTTGTCGTATAGTAATATCTGGAGTGGCAAGAATTAGGTCCTTGATAGATCGAATGATATGAGGTAAAAGCTGGACGCTGTCGTTGAGATCGAGTAGAGATCGAATTGGCACCAAACAGATTTGTCGATAAGCGAGAAGACAAAGTGTGTCGTGGTCAGGCTGTAAAAAATTTTTGAGATAAATAATTTTATTCAGATGCTATCACAGTTTGAAATTCATGACAAGTTAGCCTTCAAGTCTTTAGTTTACCTCTTCATTGTCCTTGTCTTCCATGATACCAGCGCTAAATGGATTTGGTCTCTCGTTCACTGATCGGCTAGGTAACACCGTCGCTTTTTGTTTATGGTATTCTTAATAGTCAACTTTTTGAAGTTGTTTTTGGTTACAGGAAGGCACCAATTTGATCAAATCATCTTTTGCTTCTGAACAGTTTGGTGTCAAAAGTATGGGTTGAGCAGGTTTTAGAAGAAAGTATTTTCTCCGAAGCAAAGGAAATGGAGTATATTGACTGACCTGAGATGGTGTTGTCGATTTCGGCCTCTGAAACCAACTTATACAATTTCTCTCCATCTGATTCGACCAGCATGAATTCGAATTTCTGAATAGCGAAAATTCTTCAAAGTAAGTAGAGGTGAAAATTTCGCACCTCTTCTTTGTACTCTCTAGCAGCAGCCGCAATTCGTTTTTCTGCTATTCTTATCTCCTCTTGTCGCAATAGTGCAACCATTCGACAATGACAATCCACCAAGCGAGTGAGGTCTGGGGGACTGCAAATAAAGTTACCGACAATATCTTTCGGAAGCTCACTGCTTACCTTTTCGCTAAAGCGTTCATATACAGCGAATGCATTTTGATCAAAGCTGATGAGACAAGTTGTTTGTACAAATTTGGTCGCTTAATACCCATTGCGCGACCGAGAACGGTGGAAAGACCATGTCGACAATCAAAATCTCGGGCTACCTGAATAATCGGCCTGCTTTTTACTTTTTTTGTTTTGTTTTTCAGCATAGTAAAAATCACGATTGAATGATCAAATTTTACCTGAAAGCTAGCATCTAAGCTATGATGCATCATTATGCGAACATCATCCGGAATACTGCAACGTCCACAACAGCTACCGACAGCTAAGATCTTTTCTAAACCTTCCGGCGGAGGATCACAAGGACATAGAATTGAGCCGAGAAGTTGGATGACCAGTTGATGAGCGAGTAACGAAGAGATTAGCTGGGACACGGACATTCTGAAATGCGAGGCACACTTATTTTTAGGTGAATGTAGGCTAATTATTCTTACCTCTCCTTTTCATCGTTTATAGTGATTATCAAATCAACATCACTAGTTGACTTTTCCTCGGGAATACCGTTTGACTGCTTCTTCTTTTGGGCATCTACCAGGAATACCTATAAGAATCTTTTTATTAAGTGATTTTCACTAATATAACTCACCTGTTGAGCTAGCATCCTTTCCTTCAGTGGCAAACCTTCTGTGCCATCTACTAAAACATCACCGCCTATGCCTTTCTCATCCGTGGAATCAGTTGCATACAAGGAAATGAGAAGCCTGATTGGCGACAAAGTCGATGCTCTATAAATAGGGACTTCCATTTAGGTTAAGAACTTCGGATTTTGCAAGCTAAATTTTAATGTCCGGACTCTATGTAGAAAATGGCTGGGGATTCCGAATAAGGCATTGCCTAAGTGGGGCTCGTATGATCCTGGCCGACAGGCCGTCTCTTTCTGTGCGGACCAATCAGCGTTCTAGTGCACGGTTTGCTGAGAGATACGGTCTGGGCGAGAGTCCAGAACGAAATTTCGTGGCTACGAATGAATTATATAAGCGGCCGCTTGAACGATGGCTTAGTTAAGGCCGACTAATCAGTGTTTACATGAGATTTGTGTGCTTAGATTACTTTGCAATGAAAGATTCTTACGTCACGTCCCACAAAGATTTCGCATAAATCGTCCATTGTGGATGTGTGAACTTTGATGCAGAGCCGCCAATATGTCGTAGGCAAGCAGTTCCGACACGGGGAAGATCTCCTTCTTGAACGGTGCATTCAGTAGCAAGTTGGCATATGTCCAGCAAAAGTCGGCTATGCCAATCAGCTGGAAAATCACATTCAAAGTTTTCAGAAGAAATTATTATTTTTTCTTCAAAAAAAAAAACAACTGCGGGGGGGGGGGGGCGACTTCGAAAACAATCCAATATGCGTAAAGAGGAAAAGCATATTTGTAGAGAGCTATAATACTTGAGCTGCGGTTAGTGTGGCCTAATGCCTCTGAGTCGTCTACGTGTCACATATGATGCGACTCAGAGGCATTGGACGCGCTGCTGCATTAGCCGCATGGTGATTAAATTGCATTGCATTTGGAAACTCAATATAGCGTGTGTCGTATATATATTTTTTTGTAGGGAGAGGGGGGGGGAGAGAAAGGGGATAAAATGTGAGGATTTGAAGTGGAGCGCTTACTCTGTTCCAACGCAAAAATGTCTGCAACCATTTGTGTGCAAATTCCGACAGCTTGTCGCAGATTTGCGTCACTTCTTCTGCCATCTGCTTTCTCCTCATTCTTTGGTATTCTTCTCATCCACTTTTGTACATGGGGTAAAAGCAGGGTCGAAAGACAAAAACAAGCTGTTGGCAGGCCTGAAAAAACTATTTTTTACTTTCCTCTGGTTTAGAACCTTCATAAATTCTTACCAAACTCGCTGCCTTTGATAGTGTTGATGAGTTGTTGTACAGAAACCAGTAACGATGGTTGAATGTATAACGGTGCCGTGACCAAAGTACCGGCCAAATGTTCCACGAATGAAAGCAATAATTCCAGCGAAGCTACTTCAGACGGGAGCAAACCTTCCCAGGGTAGAGCTCCTCTTGCCACTGTAAGGTAGGGTAACTTTTGGGGAGAACTCTTTCTAGTGAAATATCTTAAATTATTTACCTTCTAAGGGGTTATCCAGCTGCAGGGGTGAGGGATCATTATCAGCTAAAGGAAACTGAGCAGGGTCTAAACATTCCGACAAAGGAGCAGAAGTGGTTTCAACACTCTCGACTTCATCGAGGCAAACAGCGCGCAGTTCGGCCCTGAATTTTTCAAAAATTCTTTTTTTTATCCCAAAATAGTAAAATTGAATCCTACTTGTGTAGAAGATTTGGATTAGGTATGTGTGGTGTTTTGAAGAGATTCAGGATTACGGTATAGGTAGGGTTCACAAGTCGCAAAGCGGCTTCGCTAAGTTGATCCTCGACTGGTTTCGAATCTGTGGGCTCATCTTCCTCTGGCTGAGTTGGTGTTTTTGCATGGTTTGATTGCAAAAAATGTACTATACACAGAAGACAATCTGGTAGGGACCAGGATAATACAGAACTGAAAAAAAAAGAAGTTTCAAAAACTTCCTCCTTGCAAGAATTTTTGAGCGAGCAACTCACTATTTGTCTATCCGAAGATAAGTTGCTATAACATCAAGAATAGTCCAATGTACACTATCTCCATCGACCTCCGATGTTCGCAAAGCCCGTAAAGTACCGAACAGGGTTTTCCATCCTAGAATGACGTCATAAAATGTAAAACTTTTCAGTATCTAGTCTTATAAGAACCCACCGGACCCAATGCGCTCTGATTTTGTTTTCACAAAATCTGTCAAAGCGGCCACAATCTGTTCCCGTGTCTCTGGAGAACAAGTATCCGAACAGATGATTGCCTGAAACAAAACGTGATAATTTATGAAGCTTAGCCCATTTTGTATACAGGTCAGAAAAAAAAATCTGCCTCATTATTTTAGCCGTTCGAAGTTTTTTGCTGGTTATTTTGCTTGCATTAAGGTAGTAAGCATTAGAAATTCTCAGTGCGAATATTATGCAGTAATATCTAATATATAAAGAATCGTTAACTCAATTCACAAATCTGCAAATAGCAGGAAATCACTAGGCGGTCGCGAAGCGAACACTCTTCCAAATTGCACCTTTAGATTACTGGTTCACTAGTCTAATATATTATATAAAGAATCGTTAACTCAATTCAAAAATCTCCCAATAGCGTAAAAATCGCGTCGGGTCCCGAAGCGCGCGCCTGCTAGTCTAGCACCTTCAGACTGCTGGTTCATTAATAAATGAATAAACTTCGAATATGCATCAATGTTTCTCGAAAATCTTATTTTTTTTATCACACACATAAACTCAGTGACTTACTCATCAAGTCTTGTCAAGAAAATTTTCCACTTTTACACTTTTTTACTTTTTTTCATCAAAAACTAAATTTTATCACCTGAAAAGGCGCAATCAACATTTGGTTGAAGCAGAGGCCCTGAGATTCTGATAGCAATAGGTTAGAGATGACATCTGATAGAGCCGTTACACCGACTCGGGATTCATCTGGGCATGAGGCCACCTGCAATAGAAGTTCCAACGATATTTTGGTGAGAATTTTTTTGGCAACTAACCTGCACAAAATGAGCACAAACAATTGGCCAGATAAGCATCTGATGAACTAAGGGGCGATTGCCCAGCGGAGCGAGAATTTCTGATATCTAAACGTCTGCTAAGTTAGGACTGAATTCGTGGTCATCAAATTAGCAGCACTTACCCTCGTCAGCAAATTCGTTGCAGGAGTAAGTGCAGGAGCTTTTTTGCCTGAATAAAATATTCGATTCTCACTTGCATTCGTAATGGCTAGACATAATTCCCGCAAAGAACGAAGATTCAGCTCGTGACCGACTTTCGAATAGAATCTGAAGAAGCTTTTTGAGCTTGAAATCTTCGAGAAGAATGTTTCCAATTAACCTATCAACTTTAGCAATTAGTATACACAAAGCCCTGCTCAAGCTATCCTTGTCGAGCTCCCCATTGGTTATAGCGGTGTCCACGGAACGATCTGCGGCTGCTATTCCCTGAACCAGGAAGTTTCTTGGAAAAATTCAAAAATTTAATTCTTGCCCACTTCTTCGTTATGATGAGGTGGTTCTGGAGTTTTCTTTCTTCTAAAGCTGAATCGAGAAGGTTTCTCATAGCACAACGCACCATAAATGAATTTTTCGAGTTCCCACACATATTCGCTACATCTAAAATTTGATCGATAAATTGATTGAGCTTCTCTTTTACAGAGGACGTAATCACGTACCTTATCACATGTTTCCAGCATTCTGGAGCATGTATGGAAACAAAAGCATTGTCCAATACAAGCTGTATGCTAAGCAAATCTTCTCTGGATAGCACTCGAACTCGTTTCTAAAATTGATAAATTTGTAATTTTGGAAAGAATTAAGTCAACAAAAAAAATTTTTTTTCGCTTTTCCCAACCATCTGAGCATCATTTATAAATATATAGTTCATTTTCTTTGAGTCTGATTGAATCTTCGCAGGCAGTTCAGTATCAAATCTTCATATCTATTCCAACAAGAATGTCTTTTTTTGAAAAAAAAAACGAAACTTTTATGTTCGAATTTTTTTGAAACGGTCTGCTGATAATAAATTATAAATACACCATTGGAGAAGCGGGCAACGAAAAGCAATGAAATTATTGAGATAAACTAATGTAGTAAATGGTGCAATTGCACAAAGAGATCGGTGATGTGAAAAATAGCTTACCTGCTCTTCTGAGCTAGCCAAAGCTCGCAGCTCATCCACATCACAAGATGCTTCAACAAGATTCTCGAATATCCAACCACATCGCTCACCCAACTCTGGAAAAATCTTTTCTCTTTTAAAATTGCAAGCGAAAGTCTATAAATTACCTACCGAGCTCTAAAGCCACTGCTGCCAAAAGCTGCATGCCTTTGATTGAGTACTCGATACCATCTTGAATTTTCTGACGAGCTTTGCGGCGTTCTGAAATTTTGAATGAAAAGTCTGGAAAGTGCTTAATCAAGGTTTTTTTTGAGGGAGTATGGCGATGCAAAAATTTCTTTTTGAGTTGAGGGTCACGTAAGCCAAGTCCTAAATAACTTGCGGCAATCCAAAATTCCAAAAAAAATGTTATTAACTGTGGTTAACAGTTATCGAAAAGCCAAAATTCTTTAAAAAAGGCAAAGAAAATAAAAATTAAGAAGGAAAGAAATGGAAAAGAATTTTTACTTAGCGAAATGATATTGATCTGCACTCGTTTGTTCCTATAACTAATTTTATCCTCTCCCGCGGATATCACCCCATAATATTGCAACCTAAATATATTCACAAACTCAGCATAATTTAGGGCTTAGTTGTTGAGTTTTTTGAAATTTTTTGAATAGAAAATTCTGAACAAAACCTTACCTTTTATTCCCAGAAAAGTTGAGAGAATTTGAACAATGGAATCCCATGCCGAGGTCATTAACCAGCGGGCTGCTATTCTTTCTGAAAATTCACACTTTTTATTTGGACCCTCAAGTAACTGCTAATTTTGCGAGGCAATATTGCAAAGCATTGTGAAGTGCATGTTCCTATGCTAATGCTAGTATCGATGATAAATTTTCTAGAAGCACAAGCTTTCTTATCCTTACGCAAACCTTCTTCAGGTTTTGGTGGAGGTTTTCCTTGTGAGATCTTCTGCAGACGTTCCACGTCTGTGAGAATCTTATGATCAAGTCCATCAAAGTCTGAAAAACTACTATTTTCTGTCAATGTACAAGTGGGTTGAGAATAAAGGGTTGACTTACCCTGCACAACCCCTAGAAGTGCTCCAGAAAATTCTGCAAAAGCAGCTTTGACTGCATGGTCGTAGACTTTACGCAGCCAACTTTCACTCACATACACAATGCAGCCTGATTTGAGCAATGTGTCACGGAAAATTGCCTGAAAACGGCAGTTTCGCTTTTTTACCAAGGGCACTGCAGCATTTACCCATGTCATGGTGTCCTCTCCTCGATAGGCTAGGCATAAGGTCGAGTAGGCGGTGATGTAGATGGCATCAGTATTGAGAAATTCTTGTTGGATCTTCGACTTGGATTTGAAGGCTTCGTTGTGCACAGCGGAAAAATCTGTGAAATCTTATGAAAACAAGTCTTGGCTTGGTGAAAAACCTCTATCTTCAAAGAGAAATTCTATACATGGAAAATAGACAAAATAAACACCTAGATAATCACGTTAATCTTTGTGGAATCCGCGAGACGCATAGCAAGAAAATCCAGCAAACATTGTGCTACAGTCTGTCTCGACTGCAGTGACCCTTTCACACGTGGTTACGCAACGCGAGCGCCTTGCGCGATGACCCCGATCAATGAAGCCAATTTAACATGTCAAGCTAAACGTCCGCGTAAGCAGCGCGAGACATGGCGAGGAAGATGTGCAGTTTGAACAAATAAAAAGCATTTTTTCCAAAACTGATTTTTTGAAGAAAATTGCGCAATAAAAAAACTGGGCATTATGCGAAATATGAGAGATAGATGAATAATGAAAAAAAGTCAAACGTACCGTTATAGAATTCCGATGAAAATTCGAGGATAGCCTCGTCGAGTTCGAGTGTTGATTTAAAGTTACTCCATTCAACAATATGATCAACTAGGGAGTCCACAAATTTCTGCGCTGTGATTTTTTCGGTCTGAAATGAAATGATTTCTCTTATCGCTGTATAATTATAGTTCTTATATCATCCTCAAATTTTCATTGAATTGATGAAAGTGACACTCAGTGAGAGAGATAAAATGATTTTCTAGTAAGTGACACTCAGTGAGAGAGATAAAATGATTTTCTAGTAAAAAGGAGCTCGATCTTAACTTTGCCCAAGATGCTTGACCCTTTTGAATATAAGTTTTTTTGTAAAAAATATTATTTAGCTTATACACCTCATAAAGAAGATTATGACCAAGTTTGGAAACGTCGACCTAAGTTCTATTCACTGACTCTTTTCAGTCATAAATTTTTGTTATTTGTTCAATTTCACTCTACATACGTGGGCTAAGAAAACTTTGCAGGTAAAAAGTAGGGAAAAATCTAACTGTAGCTTACCGTTTCATCATACTCGGTTGTCCTTCGTCTTGAAATTGGCATTGCGACAAACTCCTCATCGTCACTCACTTGCCGTAGTCCAAACTTTTGTGTAAGCTTTTGCAATGTCTCGCTAATGTCCTTAATTTTATCAAAAATTGCTTTGACTATCCATAGAGTAAGAAAAAAAATCAATTACATCTCTCGCCTCGTCATCAACGTCATCATCTGCCTTAGAGCCAGATTCTGTTGACGGTCTCGGACTAGCCTGACCAACGTCGGATCGGGCCGTGAAGCCTGTGAACTTAAACCTGAGAAATTGCTTTGAAAGGGGTGAAATGCTCACTTGGTGTGTTCACGTCTTGTAAAGTTGGGAACATTTCCTTGAGTTTCCATCGTATTTCATCATTCAAGAGTCCTGGGGAGTTACAGAAGTCTAGAATGCCTTGCAGCTGAAAGCAGAAGAAAAAAATCAACAAAATTTCGGTAATGTCGACAGTACAAGAAATAAAAATACAGTACATAAATACAAAAAATTAAATGTAACACATAAATACAAAAAAATAGCAGTGATATTATTTGATGATGTACAAAAAAATGAAGCAATGATAGAAAATCATAAAGAATCTGATATTGTGATACCAAAAAATATTCATTTTTCGTGCGTCTTTGTGCAAGAATTCTATCCAAATTTATATTGCCTCGAAGTTCCCGTTTCAGACGCTTTTATTTACCGTAGACCATACGACGAAACTTCATGTTTCACTTTCACAATTACTTAAAGGCAGCGTCCACCCAAAATCTTGCCTCCCATGTTTTTGCCATTCCGGGCATTTTTGTGACCCTGACTACATTTATAAAGTTTAAATTCTCCAAAACCTCCAAAAAACACGATTTGTGGGGACCCGTCTTGAGGGCGCGGACGGCTTTTAGTACATGGGTGGGCGGAGTCTGGTAGGATCTGGGCGGGGCTGATAGCACTTTGGCTGTTCCAGGCCCCTTATTTCCATTCAGGGACAACATTGAAGGACTGGACCAACGCAGATGCCCCTCTAGGAGGGCCTGCATTCAGGATTGACAGCAATCAGAGGGGTTAGATTTAGCCTGGACACTGCCTTTCAGCAAACTTTTTTTTCTCTTTTGTTTTGCTAAAAGATGAGAAGTTCGCAACAATCTCGCAAAAAAAAATTCCTCATCATTTCTATATACTTACATACCATTGCTCCAGCAGCTCGAGTAGCTTCGATAGCGATTTCGTGTTGTGGTTGAGCACATTCGGCCATACATACGACCATCATCCTCCATAAGGAAAGTGAACGAGAACGTACACATGAGCAAACGATATCGTTCAACCGGAGACGATCTGAGAGGATCTGAAAGCAAAAAATTATTTTGAGAAATTTTTAGCTTTTTGATATTTCTCACAGATAATGTCTACCGTTTTTTCGGTTCTGGACCGAATTAAGTAAAACCTTAATTCTTGTCAGGTGTTAGGGATGAATTTAACTCTTTGTGCATTTGCAAGAAAAATTTGGTTATGCAAAGATAATAAAAAACTTCTTTCATCTAATTGTCATGCATGACTTGCCAGGCAAGACTTTTCGCATAATAAAAAAGTTTTCAGGAACAAGAAAAACGCTCTGAATCATTCCAGCGGTCATTCGACGGCAACAAAAAAATACGTATTCTACTACATACAGAAAAAGACAATTTTAGTTCAGTTCAAAAAAAACTTTATGAGATGACGCAAACCTCGGAAAATAATTTCTTAATACTTTTGAATCCATTTATCGTTTAAATAAATTCGATAGTTGTGAATTCTTTCAAAACAAATTGCTGATCAATTTTTGCAATTATAAAAATCAAGCGTATGCTGCTGCAAGTCATAATTTGGTTTCTCACTGACCTTCTTGATAATCCTTACGGCTTCAGTCCTCTGCTCAACTTTGGGAAAAAGAAAGGCTTTGTGGAAAAGGGCTTCCAAGACCGAGTTGACTGATGGGATGCCTGCCATGATGCGGATTAGCTGCTCTAGGATTCTGAAAAATGTGAACATTTTTTGGCTAAGCATTTTCAAAAAAATTTTTTAAGACACTTCCAGAAAGATTTGGGAATCTAGATTTTCCTTAAGAATAAGCCTTAACTGAATCGTCGCAAGTGGCAGCTTTTAAGGCTCATTCGGCAGTTAAAACTGTCGCACACTACCGTAACATCTTACTCGGGTACGGTAGCTGGGCGAATGCTCAGGAGTGATTTTCTTGGGCATGAATGAACTTTAGGCAAATGAGCTGCCGCTTGTGAGATGCTTTGGCTAAAACTTCCCTTCCTAATCGGTTTTCACATAGGAAACCCCAGGTGGCCGAGTTTGTCCGGACATGCCATTCAAGTCCGAGTTACTGCAAGTTTAAAGATAATGAGCCAACTTACTGGTATAGCACTCTTGTTGCCTCAGGGTTTGCAACCACAGCTGGGCTCAAGGTAAACTTGGCCATCTGCCCTTGCCCAAGGGGTTCCTCGGTGGTGACAGGAGGGGTGTTGGTGACATTTTTGTCAGGAACTCCAAGTAATCTTATCATTAGTGGACACAGCTTTTCCCTATAAAAAAATAAATAGAGGTTTTGAAAAACAAGGTAATAAAAAAATTTTTACCACAAAAGATTGACGAGGGGCGTGTGACTTTGTACCCCCAGCGGCTGTGCGGTTAATAAGGCGTTCATCGCATCAAATACGATAATACTCTGATCGGAGGACACGGTCAACTGATCCAGTTTTGCAATATAGCTGTCTAACAGCTTGGTTACGTCCATGTAGACAGAAAGGACATTCTTTGACTCCTCCTAAAAATCTGCATAACACTGAAATCGAAAATCTAGTTTTGATGATTCACCCCTGCAGCATATCGGTTAGCACAATAGGCTGTGATTGACTGTGATACAGCTGCCCGGGCTGAAACCCGTGCAGATTCTTCACGAGTGGATGAGAAGACTCGCATACAGAGCTGTAAAAATTGCAAAATAGAAAGGGATTGATAAGGAGGGGGGGGGGGGGAGAGATTGAAACTCACTTCGAGGCATTCTTCGAGCTCTTGCAATGAAACTCGCAAGTCTACAGAGCAAACCATTTCGACGAGTAGCTAAATAAATAATAATTTGCAAATAAATAAAATCAAAAACTCCAAAATAACAAATGGAGTAATCGCATACTGGAAAATACAAGCGAATTCAACGTCCTCGAATAAAAAACAGTTACATAAAAATTTTATAGATGATTATAAGCGAATTGAAGCTCCATGTAGATTTACTTATTGAGAAGTAAGAGAGAAGATTTCAAAATTTCTATTTCTGTAAAAATAGTTCTAAGCAATTTTCGACTTAATTCCACTTTTTTCCGTAATCGAAAAAATTTCAGTTCCATGTGCTCTAAGTCCCACCATATATTCGATTAAAAAAACCTTTTTTGTAATTTTCATTCTATTACTTTTTCATCATTTGAAGACTTCTACACTTTTCGCAAAAATTTCCTGTTCCAGTGTAATCATCAACTTTTTCTTTTCTCACCGTCAAGCAATTGCATTGCAGCTGACAATTCCATTGCGCTACGCCAGTCATAGCACTTAGCACCTGAAATGAATTTTTTTAAAAAAATTTCATTGCTGCCTCGAAACTAGCACTTACCTGAGTTGGCAAGCTGTGGTTGGTATTTTCAATGCTGTCCGAACGAAATCGTTCATCTCGTAGCAGTGCCTGAGCAGTATTTTGCAATTATTACTTCTAAAAAAGGAAGAAATTGTGGAGTTTGCTTTCGAAATGCTATTGCTAACTTCATTCGCATAAAAATTTGTCGCGCATCAAGAAAACAAGATTCTAACTCTTCACCTTGTCACTGTTCAAAAATATCAAAAATCTTTAAGAAGTACAAAGTAAAAGATGTGGAACTCGTGAGGGTGCCTTAGAACCTTAGAGCTTTGTGCATCTCCTCACTGAAATTCTAAGTGCTTGCTAGTGTTTTTCGATACGGGTCTCTCCTTATATTGCGTAAGTGCAACAGGAAAAAATTTGCAAAAAAGTAGATTTACTTTCTTTGCTGGAATTGTGTCTATTTTGACAAAAATTTGTTTCAATCATGTAACGTCACTCTGACGTCCTTTTTCTTATGTTGCGTATGTGAAGCGGGAAAAAAATCACAGGAAACCTTAATAACATTTTTTCTAAATTTCTGCCTCAATTCCTCATTTATTCAGAAATATCGGAAACTAGGGAAAATGTGTAACATTGATGATTAAATGTGGATGCCATAGATTTTCAATTAGCGTTATCTAAAAAAATAGGCGCAAGCAAAATTCCTGCAAATCATATTATTCTTTACCGACTCACCCCTTTCTTGGTGCCTCAATATTCTTCGAAAATTTAGTTTATGAAATTTCTATTTTTATGCTCTGCAAAATTTCCGATAAAAAAATTAGTTTCATGTCTTGAAATTAAATTTTCGAGAAACATTTATTGTTTTGGCGTACATGAAAAAGTAGAAGCTGAAGTTGGAAAGATACTCATGAAGCATGCTTGCTGTTTGCAGCAGGGATTTTTTTTGCAAACATGGACTAGATAATTTGCACAAAAAAATTCTAAAATAACGATCAATATTTTGCGAAATTTTATCAAAATACCTGTACTCCTTCGACAGCATAGTGCGCTGCTTTAGGGTTGCCTTTATCGAATACGAGCTCAAAAGCGGCCAGGCATTTTTCCCGAACATAGGCGATTGGGACATCCCCATCTGTCTCCAAGCTTTTGACTGCTTCTGAAAGAAAAACTCAAAACTGCTCATTTACTGCTATTTTTTTCGCAAATACTTATAATACCGTAACCATACCGTAAGCATACCGTACCTCTAGCTTGTGTGACAGCATCCTTGGTGGCCTGTTGCTTTACTGTGTTGCTGAGGCCGTTGAGCGCCGCTTCCATGGCGCGTCTGAAGAAGCCGCGCGCGTCGCTGCCGTGGCGCTCGTCAAGACCCCCCGGGGCGCTAGCGGAGGCGGAGCGGACCTCCGCCTACACCCGCGGCATCGCCAATTATGCAGCGTTTCTGCTGCTGTCACTGTGCAAGGCTCGCGCGCGCAATCAATGCGGTGTCACTGCCTCGATGCAGCTTGGGAAGCTCCCCATTGCAGCGATAATGAGAAAATTGCAAATGACTAATTCAGGGAAACACCTCATTCATTAGACTTTATTAGTCTTATTATTTGGAATTATGTATTTCGGACAAAATATAAGAGTCAGGTTTAATTTTTTAGTTCTCCAACAACATTGGTCCGATGTGCATGCAAAAATGATATTTCTTGGCAACTAAGCACATACAAGAGTGACTGAATACCGAATAGGGAAAAATGTTTTTTTAATATTAGGTCGTCCCGAAAGTTCTTTCGCACCATTTTCAAAAATTCATAACTTTTGATTTTTCCAACCGATTCAAAAGCTTTTATGTTTGTATGAAAGAGAAAGTCGCGCTCATTATAATGACCTCTTAGCTGCTCACTAATGACCATCTGTTGCATAGATAGGAGCGGTAGAAGAAAATTAGTCAAAATTCGAATTTTCTGTGTAGGGTCTTAAAAAATCGGAAACATGCACCAAAAATCGGAGCAGTCGGCATTGTAGGTTCTTTCACCAGCTTTTTCTAACGTGCAAAGGTTTGCGCCGATCGAACCTCTCTATAAAAAGTTATGATTTTCGAGCAAGCAATAGAAAAAGGCGCATTTGATTTATTAGGTTGGTGCAAAAGTAATGCGCGTTTTGCGAGTTCTCACTTTGACGTGCTATAACCTTCTAAAAAATCCATATTTTTCAGCGCGGCAAAATCTATCAAAGTCACCAAACCTTTCTCTATACAGCGCACATTAATTTGTGCTAACATCGTAAAACAGTGAAAAAATATGAATTGATAAGCAAAAAAATTTTTTTTTCGGAAACCTCGTGTTTAACTGATCATAACTTCCTTCAAGATTTGTTGGTATAAATGAAACGTTGACTGTCTTGTAGCCGCAAGCCAGTAGTACAAATAAAAGTTGTAAGGGGCTCAAACAAGGAAGATCTGCGAAAAGGAAAAAATAATATTTGAAATTGTCCGCTTTTTTCGACATTTTTTCGCAACCCTCAAAATCCAAAAATGTGGAGATTTTTGATTTTCTGTGTACTGAACAGCTTCCACATTTCTGCAAAAACTGTCAACAGGAGGTCCACCCTTACGCTTACAGGAATGAGCAAAACTTTGGCGATTGCCCTCTTCAAAGGAAATCTATGGGCCACAGAATGGTCAAAACCATCGCTCATGTTGGGGCACCGAAATCTTAGTCGAAATAATTTCTGAGAAAACAGCAAAGCATACACAACGTAGAAAATTTCTACTACATACAGTAGTTAAATTTTCAAAAGAATGAGTTTACTCGCGCTCAAATTCTGGCCAAAAAAGTAAGCGCAATGAAATTCTGGTTTCGAGTGCGGTTGTATGAATCTCTATAAAATTTTAACGATTGAGGCTAGAAGCTTCTTTCAACCACCATTGATTAGAGCATGAAAGAAGCTTCTTTGTAGTATGCTGTGTAATTTTCATAGGAGAAACTTCGATGGAGAAAAGCTGTCTTGAAATAAGGGCTAGAAAAACGCGCATTACTTTTGCACCAACCTAATATTTTGGAATTTTTCAGGGAAATCGTAACTTTTCAAAGAGACGTTCAATCGGCGCAGTCTTTGCACTACTAGAAAGAGCTAGTGAAAGAACCTACAATACCGACTGCTCCGTTTTTTGTTGCAAGTCTCCGATTTTTTATGGCCCTACACAGAAAATTCGAATTTTGACTAATTTTCTTCTACCGTCCTATCTATTCAAAAGATGACCACTAATAAGCAGCTAAGATGTCATTATAAAGAACATCACTTACTCTTTCATACAAAAATAAGAGCAGTCAAATCGATCGGAAAAATCAGAAGTTACGAATTTTTGAAAATGGTGCGAAAGAACTTTCGAGACGACCTAATATTAATCCAAGTATCTTCGCTGGCGAAAGTAATTTCGCATTTTTAACAAGCGCCACATTCCACGGAAAAAAGATTTATGAAAGATCTTGGAAGCATATGCAGTTCTGAAGGCTCTTTCAATTGGCCTCTCAATTGGTCAATTCATCTTCGTATTGCAGCTCAACAAACCGGCTCTCAGAAATTTATTAAAAAAAACTGCAGTCCATGCTCTTTACCAAGGTCAAGTTTCGCTTTTTTTAAATTTTTGTACTAATTCCCAGAGAAGTGCAAGTAAAAGATAAATAGAGCAAACCCTATAGGATACAAAACGACTTTGTTCTCTTCCCCATGTCTCGCCATGATTTTTTGACAGGAATTTCAACAATACCATCAAATTTTAACAGACCTCTATCAGGGACAGACTCGCCAAATCAAAGAATTCTCGATGCTTGATATACTTTCAAAAGTGATGTGATTCGGCACTCTTGCAAAACAAATGGATTCGAAACATCAAATCTTGAAATTTCTAGGTAAAGTTGAGGCGGCTTTAAAAACATGAATCTTGTTACCAAGACTTTATAAAACAAAAACAAAAACATCCCTTTAAAAGAGGAGAATACTTTCACCGAATAACACGCGAGTTGCTCGCCGGGATGGTGAGGTCTAAGTTGACCATACATGGAACTTGATAGCATCAAAAAAGTTAGTTTTGAAAATTTCAGCAAGTTATAGTAGGAGAAAATATTGTTTTGTATACTATAGGTTTCTTCTATCTACCACTTGGATTTGTTCGAAATTACTATAAAGATTCAGAAAAATTGCGAAGCTTGACCTTAAGGTAGTACCAATTGGTAAAAAGCAGCCGCAGTTTTGGTACATATTTATCTGAGAGCTCGCAGAACCTAAACCTTGTTCCGCGCTTGTAAAAAAGTGATTACTTTCAGGACGATTTAACATAAATAAATGGCTGATTCTTCAGTTTGGACGTCGAGACATCCTAGGATTTTTGAGACGAGGAGACATTTTGGAGCACTGAGATTTTGTCTTTCAGCTTTACGCGTTACTTTTATCTATATATAGGTGGATTCATCTTGTACAGCTTGTTTTGCTCCATTAAAGAGAGATACAAGCCATTCTCATCGGAGAATATTGTTTCCTTGTGTTCACCGCACTTACCATTAATCCTACAGGCAATTCGGAATTTGGAAGAAAACAACGGCATTTAAAACACATACTATATAATGTCAACGCTGAGTGCGACACAATCGAGAACAGAAAAATGTATAAGATTGCAAAACTTTCAATTTGTATGGTGTTGATCACCATTTGATGTCCGTCGCATCCGTGACTACTGGCTCCACGGTGGACTAGAGACTAGTTGTCATGTGAAGTCATCGATAAAATTTCATCTCAAAAACCTTACTGGCAGAACAACACTGTGCAATAGGCGGTACATCATGCCGAAGGTTTGAAGAAGAGGGGCAGAAAATAGTTACAATTTGTTCCAATTCAAATACATAATGCGTCTTTGTCCGTAATCAGAGAAGGAGTTCCACTGTAATTGCGACGGATCTCGGTCATAGAGGAATTCTAGGATTCTTACTTGTTTTTAGGTGGCCTCCGTGCCCCAGCACAGAAGTTCCCCAGTCTCTGTCCCTCCCAACTCGTCGGTGGCTGGGCGAGTTCCAGGTGTGAGCAGCGTACTCAACTTGTTTCTCAGCAGGTCAATCCGTTCCACGAACACGTCTGCCCTTCTCGTTGGAGGTCTTGCTCGGGGACGTTTTGGCCCGAGGAATCCGTTCGGATGCTCTCAGGATTCATTTGTCGTCTTTTCTCCTCAAAATGTGACCGGTCCATCACTTCGCTCTTTCGCGACGTATTCAGCTGGATCATCACGAAGACGGGACATTCTTATCATATCGTACTGCGAAGTCCGGAAGATATCGTTTGTGTCGGATCATCTTCAAAAGGATCGCTCAAGCCCTCTGTGAGTGGTCCGTAGAGCTTTCGACGAGCCTACACTATTCCCCCCTCCCCCTCCCCCCCCCTCTTTCTCCCTAGGTCTCAGCTGCGTAACACAGCGCCGGGAGAACGGTTGAGTCGAACAGGTGCCCGAAGCTCCGAGTTAGTCAGGTACTCGCTGGCTTCCTTCGGAGGTCCTAAGGCGGCCCAGGCTGCTCTTCTCGGAAGCTAAGCTCTTTCCTCAAGTCAGTCTCTAATCTGAACGCCCAAGACACATAGGAAAACTACTCTGTGATGAGGATGCCTTCCAAATCCATTTTCCCATCTTCGCAAAAAGCGTTCTCCATAAACTGAGCCTTCTTCCAATTTATTCGCAGTCCGATCTTTTTTCTAACCTTAGTTCCTTCCGCATCGTCTCTTCTTCGATAATATTATATTTCTAAAAAACGATGTCGTCTGCAAAGCGATCCGAGAGGAATCTCCCATCAATTTGTAAGCCTCTCATTCCAGTCCAGTACTTCACCATCCACTGAAAGGGCATTCTAGACAGCTTTGACAGTTTTGGCGGGCAGTGTCCAGAAGGTAGGGCTTTTGCGATTTCAGAGCTATGCAAAAGTGGGGCCCCTCGAACACGCAGTCGCGCAAGTGCGACCATAATGTTTGACCCAAACTAAGAAATATGGTCGGAAAACTGGCAGACTAATGCCCTGAGGCGTGGTTCTCCATCAGTTTTGAATTTCTGCTCTGCGGAGTACCGCCACAGTCCGGGTGGAGGACTATATGTCGCCGAATTTGGAAGAGTCCCGCGCGGATTCCCTGTAGGAACGCATGTCCGCGCATGTATAAGGGTGCGTATTTGTCGCAAATTACCGCGGGGACCGCCCTTTTTCGGCGACATATAGTCCTCTACCCCCACAGTTCAAGCGTAGGGTCCCGCAACGGCCTGAGTCTCAGCCTTGGCGGGAACCGTCATTTTTTCAAATTGTAAA